AACGAGTCCAGTGAAGCAGAAGTGGCACAAAGGTTGTGGGGCATAGCCGCCACTGGACAAACCACACGAAGCACCCCTGCTTGAACCAGCCAAGCAACAATCACCAAAGAACCCCAGGATGCAAACCGACACAGTCTTCACCTGAAAAGAAGTCAGCTGCAGATGAACGAAATGACCCCCTGGGGCTGAAGGAGGAGCGCATGAAGCTCACCCACACTACAACTCTCTGTGTATGGGGATGGGGGAAGGGGAGGGAGAGAGAGAGGGGGAGAGGAGGGTCACAGAAAAACGGCCGGGTTCAGCACCTGAGACCAAGGATGGGCCGGCCACCAAGGAGCCAGAAGGAACCCCCCCTCCCCCATGTAGGACTCCAATTTTGCCAGGTCCTGGAGCAAGAGCTGTGACTGGGGGAAGGAGGTAAAGAAATCTTCACCTCAACCAGTCCAGCCAAAAGGCATTCATTGCTGGAGCCTCGTAATTGGGGAATTACGAGGCTTCCATTTAAAAAGGAAGGCACTGTGACTAAGCCAACAGGAAAGAGTGGAAAGAACTGAAGACCCAGAGAACCTTATTTAGGGCTGGAAAAGGTAGAATCAATTGAAGAAATGTGGCCAATATGACAACCCATGAACACCCCCTCAAAGATGACTCGACGAAGACGAGGAGAGGGAGAACTAACTCCACGCCCAAGTTTGAAGGAGCAAATCTCGGAGCTGACCAAGCAACATTCTGAGCTAAATTGAGCCCTGACCCCAAAACCTTCAGATGCATCAGGGCCAGAAGCAACGGGATAATAAGAGGGAGGGTGCACCATGCCTGAAGGGAGAGGAAAGGAGGTATGGACAGAACCATGGTTGAATTAACCAACACCCCCAATTATGAAACCCTAAACACCAACTGGGGCAGCTCTGGGGCATCCAACTGGGCACACAACCCAGACTGCTGTAAAACAAAGTCCAAGCATAAAGCGGTCACTGTCTGAAAACCCTGATCATCATCACAAGGGTTTGTTAGGCGAGCAATGTGCAGAGAACAATTCCCACATGACTTAGGTAGGTAGCATGGCAGAGGTAGAAAGGTATGCACATTGTCATGTGGCACAGACAAAGCACAACCCTTTGAACTCATTCAGAGTAAGTGCAGGTTCATTGGGGATATCCAATGGACCACTGAACCTGCAGGGATTTTCCAGGGTCTATAGAGAATGGCCTAGCAGGAATCCCAGGCACTAGGAACGCTATGCCAGAATACTGTACAGAGTAGGAAACAGCCTCTACCGTGTTTTTTTTTTTTTTAACAAGAATGGAAGTCTCGATATAGAAAGAAACAAGGAAGTGTCGAATGGACACTTGAATGGGTATAAATAAGCCAGTCCAGCTCACGGGAGGCTGAGGACAACCTCTTTGTGCCTTGGTTAGGTCGCACGATCTACAGTGTCCCCCACCAGTCAAAAATTCATACCTGATCCCAGGAAAAAATGAAAGGAAAAAAATGGATTTACCTAGGGCAAGGACCACCACAAATGAGGAAGGCCTCGAAGGGAGTGAACACCGAATGTTCCAGGAAAGGGAACCCTGATAGCACAAGAATAGTGCTTGGGAGCACACAGGAAAGAAAATCCTGTGTACATACAGCTTTAAGCACCTTATACTCCTGGCTCATGCAGCATAAACATGCATTGTAACAGCCACACATTCAAAATACCACCGCAAGCTGGAGCAGAATATAGGAATTGGAGCAAAAGAGAGGGGACCACACACACTACCATCAACAAGAACTGAGGGTGGAGCAGCCAGGTGACCCAGTCTGCCTCCCTCCTCCCCAAAAATGAGGGGGGAGGGGGGTATGAATGAGATTGTGCTCGTTTCAGAACTTTTCGATCGTTTGTTTACACTGATGGGGAGAATGCTTTTGGTAAGTTTGAAGCATTGATATTTCCTTATAACTAGCAGTGGTCTGTTTTCTGTCGCTGACTTTGTGAGTGCTTTCATGGTGGTGGCAGACATGACTAAAATTCCCTGACAATTTGACCATAGTGCCACTACTCTTTGCACCTCTATAGAGGGGGCCAGGTTCTGGCTTGTGGTCTGTGGTAGGCCTACAATAACTTTGTAACTAATGGCACCTAGTAGTTGGGCACTGTATCAGCATTGTAGCTTCAGGGAGCCACAAGGAACTTCCCCCAGAAAACCAGTGTTGAATTCAATGAAACCTCTTTCTAGTGGATAACTCAGTATCTCCCCAAGCTACACACTGGCATACTTGTCAAACCTTCAGTATCAAACCAGGCTTTAATGATTCATGAGTACTTGCTTGAGACCAGTGCCACAATCTGGTCCACTTAGGAAGGAAAGGGGAACCTAGGGTCTAGGATCACCACAGTAACCAAAACAAAAAGACCTCCAGAAAGGAATATTAAATAAAAAAACACAACTGCATTAATTACATGTCCAAAAACTATGTAAATAAATGCTACCGGGCCAAACAACCAGTTCATACCACTCTCTCGCCACCAGATGGTAACCCCTGGCTGCTCTGCGACCCAGAACACTATTCCACAGTTCATTCATAACCCTGAACTAACATGAAGACAGGTAGGGTGAGAATGGGGAAATACAGAGGAAATCACCAAAACAGACGGGTAACCAGGGAAATCATTAAACACAACAGCAGGGGTCAGGAAACAGCGCAGCCATACTTGCCTCCAATGAGAGGCAAGTATGGCTGTGCTGCCATACTTGCCTCTCTACAGAGAAAAACTACAGAGAAAAACAGAGCAAAACTACAGAGCCTACCAAGTTCTGGGGAAAGAAGCCAGGTACTGGGAGTGTCTCATTAAACACACCACAACCTGGGAACATGTGATGAAGGAAGGGGTGTACCATTACAGACCAATACCAGACAAGATTATCACACTCCACTACAGAGCCATCCCTTCCACTGAACCTTGCAGAGGAGCAAAACTCATGCACTACCCATAATTGAGACCCCATTGAGAGGAGACATCTGAATTCCCCCTCAGGAAAAAAGAACCCTAGTTGAAGACAAGGGCTACCAAGGAAGAAAGCCCTGACCACATGCAGCCAAAACAAACACTAATTAGGGCACACACAAAGTGGGGCACAGAAAATAACACAAAATACAAGGTGAAAAAAAGGAACAAAGTAGCATGGGGCCCTATTCTAGACAAAACCTAAAGGGAAGTCAACATGTAACCGAGAGATCTAGGTCCAGTAGAGGGACACAGGACTGGACAATGCAACACCAGGTGTATGAATGATGGGGTTGGCATCCTGGATCTCTAAGTGGCTGGAGTTGTCATCCTGGATCCCTAAGTGGCTGGGGTTGTCATCCTGGATCCCTAAGTGGCTGGGGTTGTCATCCTGGATCCCTAAGTGGCTGGGGTTGTCATCCTGGATCCCAAAGTGGCTGGGGTTGCCATCTGGTAATAAGCGAGTAGTATGAACCAGTATTTTGGCTCAGGTACTGTTTGTTCACAAAGTTAGGGGAGCCTGATGGCTGAGTCGACAGCACTCAGGTTTCGTAGTCCTAAAGGTCCGGGATCGATTCCTGGCAGAGGCAGAAACAAATGAGCGGTTTCTTTTACCCTGATGCTCCTGTTCAGCTAGCAGTAAATAGGTACCTAGGAGTTAGACTGCTGCTACTGGCTGCTTCCTGGGGAAGCATGTGTGCGAAAATTAGGATTAAAAACTTGCCCAAAACGCTATGTGTGGTAATGACTGTACAAGAATATAAGAACTCTTGTACAATATATATAAATAAATTAATTAAAAAATAAATAAATAAATAAATCAAATAAAAAAGTTAAGAATCAGCATTGCAAATGCAGTTGTCTCTTTTGGTTTCTTCTACCTCTCAGGTTGTCTTCTCTCTTAGTTACTGTGGTGATTATAGATCCCAGGCTCCATTTTCCCCTCTTAAGTAAACCAGGTACAGTACTGGTAGGTTTATGATACTGATACTGGTACTGGTAGGCCCTTGTGTATCCTTAGAGCCTGGTGTGGACCTCAAGTTTGACACGTTACCAGTGTGTAGCTTGAGGAGATACTGAGGGGGCCCTTCCAGTAAAAAAGTATTTTAGTTTTAAAACTTCTCTTAACAGCAACAGGCATGATCAAATGTTTCCCCTAGATGATGATAATGGGTTTCTCTCCCAGAGGAAGGTAGACACTCACCAGCAAGATGTACATGGCCTCCGTGTCCTCGTCACTGAGAGCTTTTCAACATGTACGTGTGAAGCTGGCAACGGGTCGGTAGAGGCATGACCAGCAGGAGCATGTCCACCCACTCACCTCAACACTATTCACTCTTTATTGTTCATTCACATTCATTCATTATCACCTCATTCACTACTATATTGTCAAGCTCACAATCGTGACACATCATCTCACACACAAACACATGAAAAATTCACATTCTCATTTTCTCACTCTCACCCACTGTGCTCCACACCAGTTTATGTAGCTAATTACTAATGTTGAAACTATCCCCTTTCAATCTTAAACATATATACATCACCAATAGGTTGCCATCACCACTGATTTGCATCTGTCACATTCATACTTAATTTTACCATGTCATTATCATCTTAATTAACTAATCATACTTACCTTTTATTATAACTAAAGTGCCATTATCAACAAGCAAATTTCCACCTGACCACCATCACCAAGTCTCAACACCATTCTGTCACCACAATGTCTCACCACCATCACCACACTTTGTCTCACCACCATCACCACACTTTGTCTCACCCCCCATCACTACACCTTGTCTCACCCCCACCACAACACTTTGTCTCACCACACTGATTATCACTGGTTCTCAATAATTGCCTGTAAACTGGTGAATCATACAGTTGCACAATTCATCTTTCACTCTTGTCTGGTCATACTCTGCCTGCCACCTTCCTGCTTCCTGCTTCTCCTTTCTCCTGCTGTCGCGGGGAAGCAACCATGCTGACGGTGGTGTGGTTGCAGGACTACAAGGAGTTCATAGACGCGGAATGCTTGGTGCCGGCACCGGTGACGGAGGCGCCATTCCCGATAGAGCTCCGGCCGCTCAAGACCCAGGACGGGTCCCGGAACAACGGGGCGGGGCACGAGTTGGCCTCCATGGACTCCACCGACACCTTTGCCTCCTGCCCCACCCACCCCTTCAATTCCCAGGCCGACCTCACCGATGACCAGCCTAATAATAAAGATTCCAACCTCTACGTTAACCCACTTGATGCTGATGGCTACCAGTCACCCACTGCAGCTGCCGCCGCTGTTGTCCCCGTGGTTACTGGGCCCCGCACGCCCACACCACGAACCTCACCACGCCACCGGCCACTCCCACGCCCTCAAGGCTACACCACAGACTCCTTTGATGACACGCGGAGCACCGACAACCTCCTGGGAAGCAGCCGCTCCTCCCTGCAGGACTCTCCGCTGCCTAAACATCGCCGCGCGCGCTTCCAGGAGGTACGCCCCTTCCACCTACCATCTTGCCACGCCCATCTCACGCCCACGCCACGCCCACGACACCCAAAACACAGGCAGTCGGCAAGATACACCTTGCTGAAATGAATATAAATATAAGATTCATGAAATATACAACAACTTATAATACCTCGTTGTCTTGTGTTTTAAACAGTTTGCCTTTTGAAATATTTCTTCTTTTTGCCTGTAATCTATAAAAATTTTGTCTTCTACCTCTTTATTGACAAAAACAAAAGAAAAAGAAAATCTAATTTGTTACATTTGTGTGCAATTATAACACTCTGCCTGTGATTATTCCTGGTTATGCTCTCTCTATTTTAAAGATTTAGTTTGTCTTGGTGACCATTGCGGTTGATGATAATGCCTTGCCCACCATCACTTGGATTGCATGTCTGTTCTGCATGACTCACTCTTGTCAACACCACTTTATTTCTTCTAGTTGGTACCATACTTTAGTTTAGACACATCACTAACATTTTTAAGTAGGCTACAAATATTGGATTACAATTACAGTATGTATATGCTATATATTCTATAATATATATATATATATATATATATATATATATATATATATATATATATATATATATATATATATATATATATATATATATATATATATATATATATTATATACTGTATATATATATATATACACAAATTTTTGTACATAGTGGGAAAGGGTAATTAAAAAAACTATGGCAACTTTCAAGAAATTAAGTTTTAAATCTGAATTTATAAGCTTTAATGTAGTCCTGTTTGCGGCTTTTTGCTACTAATGCCTCAAGAGCTCCTTAGCAACGAGCCAGCTCATGCTTATGCAGCTTTATCTTGCTTATACATTGTCAGCAAATCCCTACCAATACCAAAATTTACCCCTAGTATCTCCTTACTCCATCCTTCCTCCACTTAAAATTTGCATATGAATAATAAATCTGCCTCATCCCTACCATATTCGACTTCCTGGGCCATCCCTTTATTTCTTGCCCACATCCCAATTACCTGCTAATGCTCGTTTCCCCGACACATCCTACGCAAACCTTCCTCCCCCGACCACGTCCCATCCCGGCCCAGCCCGAGTGCCTGCAGCCGCAGTTCTGGGCGTGTGGTCGCCAGCGCTGTAGTGGTTCCTGGTAACGAGACTGGCATCGTTCCTTAAGAGACATTCTTGTTTACCTGCTATACAGTAAAGACTTGAGCTCAGTATGTATCATCCCTTCATCTTCCTCCCCTTTGCTGAGTTTTCTCTTCAACTGATTGCTGACCATTTAGAACTTTTTCTTTGTCTGTAATAATAATGGTGTTTGAGGGAAAAACCGCCCCAGCTGTTCTTGTAAATGATGGCAGCCTCAATCCCTCAGACTATTCTTATAGTATCTTTAATGTTATGTCTCATGATATTCTTGATTATTTTCCCATTTGTCTTTCAGTTTATGTAAACATATGCCGATAAAAAAAATTTACCACTTTTGTAAGATTATGAATCTTGTTTTTATATTCCCTCAAAGAAATCCTCTTGCAGTCCCCAACTATTGTTTGTTTGACCATCTTATACTGCACTGCCATTCTCTTGGTATTCTCCATGCTTAAAACATTTATGATGACACTTGTCCACTCTGAGGTATAGACCAGGATCCCAAATAACCCAGCTGTACACCTTCAGATGAGAGATGTGTAGGACTCAGGTGCAAGTCCCTGGTAAGCTACTATTGATTCTTGCCAGCATTTGATCCCTGTAAGACCCGTAAGGTATTGTTTGTAACTACTGTACGCCCCTGACTATAGTAAGCCAAGACGCTTCCCCAAGACTGAAGCTCCACTCCCTATTAACGAACAAGAAACATCCAGTACCAAGGTATACAAAAAAGTTGGTTCCCTAGACAGATCAATTCCACTTTTCCAGTAAGGAAATTACATGCAGTGTCCAATAAGGAGGAAGTAGGGGTAGGTGTCGCTTGTGCTCTGCGCTTTGTATAGCTTCTAGCGCCTCACTGCCACCAACTCATGCAAACTTTTCCATCATGGAGTGCCATTCCTGCTCTTATTACCATAGATCCCTCATCTATATTCTTCCCAATGTATCAATAAACAAAAGTCAATGATTACAAGGCAAACAAATTTACTAATTGCCAGTTCATGATGGAGCAGCATTTACATGAGATTGGCAATGTGAGTGCGGGGTCACACACTCACTGTAGACACTCATGATGACTCAAACTGGGAGTCGAGCAAGAGTCATGCTAGGCTTGAGTATTTCTCCCTGGGTTTTGACCAGCACTCTAAGAGGCACACACGCGGCGCATGGCAGGCGTGACATATACTGCAAGTCATTCAGAACTGTCGGTGTGTGAGTAAACATCAGTGTCCAGGTAATACAATACTTTATTAACTCTGAGTCGCGTTTAATAGAGCATGCAACTTCATCTGAACTTCTGATGAGTTTTGAAGTAAAAATATATTTTTGTTTTATTACTGTGTTAATACTAAGTTATTTGTCAGAAGAATCTAGTTGAATCTCAGCAAATGGCAGCTGTATTAATACATTAGGAAATAACATCTATTTTATTTTACCTAGAAATTCATCTGCAAGGTGTTGATGAAGTTGAAATTCTCAAAATCCATGAGTATTCCTTGTGTCAGGTATATGATCAACAATGGTATGTGGAATATTCCTTGTGTCAGGTATATGACCAACAATGGTATGTGGAATATTCCTTGTGTCAGGTATGTGATCAACAATGATACGAGGAATATTCCTTGCATCAGGTATATAATAAAATTATTATATACCCGACATAAAGAATACTCCTTGCACTGTTGTTGATCATACAGTATACCTAACACATATGATCAATAATGGTATGAGGACTATTCCATGTATGAGGTACATGAACAACAACAGTACATGGAATATTCCTTGTACCACTGCTGAACATGTGCCTGACAAGGAATATTTCTTGTGTCAATATATGTTCAACAATGGTACAAGGAATATTCTTTGTGTCAGATATACGATCAACAATGGTAGTGTGCTCGGAAAGGATTGATCACACGAAAGCTTCATCAAGATGATCAACGTTTCATGTTTTCCGAACACACCGGAGATTAAACATTCTGGAAACTCGATTTGCCCTCCCCACTCCTCCATAAAGCAACAAATTCGCCAAGATGCCGAAGATTATTGCGATTTCATTGAATTCCGGCGTTGATATTGCGTTCCTTAGAAGAAATCAATCACTAATAACTTTCACTTCCCCTATTTTCAACTTATCCCTTGGAGTTCCAGACTGCGGTATAGACAACACGCACTGCAGTATAGACAACACGCACCCCGACACCCAACACCCATACAGCTCCACTTCACTAGAGCAGATAACACACTACTGTATTTGATTTTCAAACTTGCTTCTGATATATATTTGGAAACAAAACCATCAACAATAATAAAAGATTAATTGTAAAATTTATTTGCTTTGTATTAATGTTATAAAAAATTTGCAACTAAAAATAATTATTTTAATTCAGCATTCGTTTTGATTATACGGTATAGTATAAAGCACACAATTTATTAAGAAAATGAATTAAAAAACTGAGCAAGTTTGAGAACATTTTAATTAATTCTGTATTTCCCTGAGGACTGAAGATTTGGAGAAGAATTCTGTTTCTAAACAGAATGCCTATATATTTTGTATATATAATCCTGGTCACTTAGATGGAAGTCAGGCCTTCTATCATTAGGTTGTGGTTTAATCCTCCTATGATGAAGTCGGACAAGATGCTTTCCTTCATCATATTGTGGATTACAGTATATACATACTGGACTGTACAGTATATTGAAATTTTATTTATATAATATATATATATATATATATATATATATATATATATATATATATATATATATATATATATATATATATATATATATATATATATATATATATATATATATATATATATATATATATATATATATATATATATATATATATATATATATATATATATATATATATATATATATATATATATATATATATATATATATATATATATATATATATATATATATATATATATATATATATATATATATATATATATATATATATATATATATATATATATATATTGGTATATTTGAGCAGCAGGCGTTCCTTTAAACTTATTTGGTTAAATATGACCGCATTGCTAGCGTTGATAATCTTATTGTACACTATAACCTTCCTATGCTTTTAACTACTTTCTTACTCTTGGGATTAAGAAAAGCAATCAAGGTACCAAAATTCATTATAAAGAAACTAATAATTGAAATGTATATTTTCTACAATGTTTAGTTCCACTCGGGAACATCTTCAGGTAAGGAATGAATATACAAGGTGCCACTGTATATCTTAAAGATGCAGGTTACAAATAAGATTGTTGGATTTTGTACTACTAACATGCTAGTAGAAAATACAACAATCCTGGCATCCACCACTGAAAAGAGAACACTGCAAATACTGGAAGCTATACTCATAAAAGAAAAAAGACCCACCCTAAATATACAGAGTAATGACTTCGATACCTTGCCTACGATTAAATCCAGACCTCACCATACAGCACCGGATAACGACATCTCTACCGAGTTCTCCCCACCCACCGCCTTACCCAGTGTTTGATGGGCATGCATCCCCATTATTTCCCTATTTCTTCACCTTATCCCCTCCACACAACTTCACCTCTTTCACATGTATATTTAAGATAAGTTTGCACCTGGAAAATTCATTCCTCACCAGAAGATATTCCAGAGTGTAACAAAATGTTGTAGAAAATATATCCTTCAATAATCATTAAAGTTGATTGATTGTAACAATTAGTAACTTGATTGCTCTTCTTAATCCTGAGAGTAAAAAAACAGCACTGAATGTAATGAAATACCATTTTCTGGGTGATTCCCAGAGAGTCCTTGGATCTATCTAGGCTGATATGATTATCCC